AAGTTTTCAGCACAAAAATTTAGATATATTCTTTCTACTTTGTATTAATGCAAACATAATTTTTAGACGAAAATTAGGATTTCATTGTTATTGAATTAGTCACGGGACTGTGAATTTTTGCGCCATGGTTCAAATTTTCTCGAAAATCACAAGACCACTCCTTGGCAGGCACATACTAACTCGCACTATAAGTATATTATGCAATCCAAGATAACTACTAGTTGTTAAATTTAATCCAGTTTTAAATATATATAGAATCATGTACTTTAAATTAGAGTGGCTTTTATGTTAGCATTATAATATATATCGTTATTTTATATTAAAAATTTTTAGAATATGCTACATATAAAAAGTATCAAAACAAGTATAATCATGTAATTTTCTATATAGTAGAAAATTATACATTCGTTTATATAATTTAAAAGAGATAATCTCTTAGTCAATTATCATAACCCATTCGAATTTTCGACTTTTTTCAGAGCATCACGTAAACAAAATAAAGTTTCACGCGAGAAAGATTATCAAATATGACTTTATAACAGTGATTCTAAAGCCTGAAAAGTTTATCATACATGAGATTTTGTCAAAACTTTTGACATTACATTTGAAGTAAATAACGCGCGACGAATCTTGGTAAATCATTACTGTTGTACTATATATTTGAGACATAAGTAATATACTACAGCTACATTAATTTATTTTTTAATTCTGGTTTTTAAGCATCATGTGTATTAGTGTTAGTCGTTAGCGTTAGTATTTCATATTAATACTAAAAATATAATTCAGTTAATACTTGAAAAACCAGTTTTAAAATATGTATCGATAATTTTGACGATAACATGACCAACAGTTTAATTTCAATAGAATCTTTTATATGTAAGTCAATTACCACGATTCTTATGGACAGTTCAGATTTTTGATCTTTTTTTAGAGCAGAAAGATAAAATTCATCTTCATAAATAAACATATTTGGCTTTATGCATGTCGATTCATACAAAATGAATAATCTAAATACAGAAAAGCTCGTGGTGTATGTACTGATTAGATCCATGCTCTGAGACGTGTCTGCTCATTTATCGTTATTTAAAAAAAGTGAGATTTATTTTCTCTATGTTAATTCCAATAATGGCACCCAAAATTAAAGCCCGAAATCTAAAAAATATTGATTTAACAGACGAAAATTACATTCACTATCTACACCATCATTTTAAAACTTTGCCTCTTTCTTCATTAATAAAAAAAAACACTTGTTTTTCTAATCAACCTGATGAAGTTCATAATGAATTAATAAATATTAAAAATAATGAAGAATATTGTGATGATTTTTATGTAGCAGCTCGGAAATTTATTAATAACGGTATAAAATTTAATTCAAAAGGATGATGATTTTTAATTTTATATTCTCTTAATTGAAGAAAATAGATCTGCGAGCAATTCAACGGATGAAACATTAATTAATCAAAATTGTTCTCAGCGTAATGTGAATTTAAATCATTATTTACCTGGAACAATAATCAGTTCAATCGACGAACTCGAAGAAAATCAACCAGTTACAGTTCCAACAATTAACGAGAGTCAACCAATCGAAATAATTGCTGGGAGTCAATCAATTACCGAAAATCAATTAAATATTGAGAGTCAATCAATTACCGAGAGTCATAAATATCCAGAAAATCATAAATCAGTTATCGCAAATCAAGTGATTAATAATATCATAGTTAATGACGACAGTAATCGGAGCGATAATAATCGAATTAAAAATATATTTAAAAACAACTGGCATTTTATTGCGATTACAGTTGCGCTAACAATAATCTGTTTGCTTACTATAAGGGTAGGTAATAATAAACATTATTAATTCTTTTTTTTTTTAATTTTTTTAACTTTTTTTATTTAATAGAATAATATTGCTAATATCAACTACATCTGGCAAACCGTAAGTATATCTAATAAAATCAATGCGATATAAATGAATTATTATTCATGCTATCATATCGATTAGACCAATGAACAATTGCACGTAATGATAGAAAAAATTACTTATGTAAGCAAGATTTTTCTAGGGTGTTAAGTGGATTAACCTTAGAATCACGTGAAATATTAATAAAATCTTTTGCTTGAAATCTAAAAAATACTGCTATTTCAATATTAAAAATTTTAATGTATTAGTGTGAACCATTTGATTATTGATTTTTTCAAAAAGAATTTATTCTAAATATCGATAAATTTTCTTCATTAAATGTTAGTTTTGAAAACATTCAATTAATTTATTAGTGTTGCGTGAAATTGTTAATCAGCAATTTAATCAGGTCCTAACTTCGTACATTTATTTTATTTAAGTTATTCACAATATTTGTCTTTTGGTGAAACAACATTTGGGTATTTCGTCGTTTGTAATTTTGTTTTTGGGTGTCATTATTTATCAAAATCAATGACCATTACTTTAAATAAAGTTCGAATGAGCGTCGCGTAAAATTTTATTTCGTTTGAAATAGAAAACAAATTGACGAACTATTGTATTGTGCACGCTATACACATTACATATTACATTTATTTATTTCTTTTCCATATGGGAGAGGAGAATCTATCGGGTTGGGACCTAGCCTTCTTCTTTACCTATAGCAAACAGATAGTGGTCAATTTTCATAAATAAAGCTTACTTATTATTGTAAAAAATCCCTTTTTAACAATTATACGAAATTTATCTTTTCTTCTAATAATGTATCGACTGGTAATTTGTTCATTTTTGCACTTTGCTTAGGTTTTCTTTTTGACTTAAACAAATCAATGATCGAGTATCAAGACTGCTTTTACTTTAAAGAAAGAAGCGGTGCGTGAAATTTGTGATTTTCTATAAATAAAATTTTTGCCAATCACTTGTTCCAGCCAATCAGATGCCAGAAAAGAACTATATGTACTATACGTACTGTACGTACTGTATGTACTGTATGCTAAAATGTTTCAGGTATCATATAAATGGCACATCACTACTTCAGACTACGTATAATATTAACAGGGTTGTCACGTTTACTATGTTTGTTCTAATAGCTCCTAATTCTATTCACTTTTTTCATTTTTCTATTGTAAATTTTCAGTATTAAATTTTACTAATTAAATTCAAAAATATTTTAAATTTATTATTTTACTAATGGTCTAACAATATGTTTTTAATTATTGCAAATTATTAATAAAAAAAAATTTTTTTATATAAAGACAAAAAATCAAGCTTTTATTCTATTGTTCTATTTGCCAACACTGAATATTAATATACAAATAATTTTTAATTTAATAAAACTTGAGAAAGCAAACATCTGTAATTTGATGTTTTGCAGTTATTAAATATATTGCGAGAGCAGCTACTTTGTTCTAAAAAATATTGAAAAAGATAGGTAAAATTATCTTTGTTTTTTAATTAAAATCCATAATTTTGATTGGTTGATCTATACCCAGCTACACTGATTGACGATCAGTATACCTAAAATTAGCAGCAAATCAAATTTGGGTTGTTTTGGTTATACAATCTTTATTTACTGTTTACTCAAAAAAAATTACTAGTGCCGTAACATCATTTTCAAGGCAAAAACCCATATGTAGTGTAATATGTGACGATACATTTAGCGATTGACCAATCAGAATGAAAGCTCGCTATGCTGACGAATACAGTATACTGTATAATACGTGGTCATATGATTCTGCAGTCCCATGAGTCCGCAGAATCATGTGATCATTTGGATTTTAAATAACGACATTAACATTAAGAAAAATACAGTATTCAAAAATTCTATGAGTTAAATCTGACCAATAGAAATTTTTACCAATAAGGTAATTTACATTGTTTTGATTCTTCTCAATTTGACCAATAGGAAAAATTGTTATAGATGTGTTCCAAAACTTTAACCTGAATTTATAACAAATATAGTTTTCAATAAATTATATATATCTGTAGTTCAAATTTCTACATAATGGCATTTTATTTTTAGTAAAGCAAAAATGATACTCCTCAAATAAAAAACAGTCAAGTCGATAATATCAAAAAAAAGACAAATTAAAGAAAAATTAGCTAACACAGTTCTTTATTGCATTTTAGAAGTAAGGTGGAGGCTGGCCAAATAACATGCTGAAGATATTTAAATGCGAAGTAAAAAATTGGGATGAAGAGAGCAATCTGGTTTTTAAGTCATGGCATATATTTCCCTTTGGTTCCTTTAATTAAATTTAAAATTAAAGATCAAATACATGTTCTAAGACAAACTTAAAACTTAAAAATACTTACTTTTTAAAGAATTCCAATTCTGTATTCAAATTGTCGCAAGTTTTTTTCAGTTGATTTAATTCAAGTTGAAGTTTTTTTAATCTTTTTTCTCTTTGTACTATGTATGAAGCAGCTATAAGAAGGATTATTTAGCTTAGTAGATCTATTATTGCATAGTTACAATATTAAAAAGCCGATTCACCTTTTTTCAATAATTTTGCATTACCCTTTTTAGAGTAAGTGACCGGGAGTTGTTCTTTAAGCATAATAAAACCTTGAGCAATTGTTTCACGTCTTTTTTTCTCTTCTCCTACTTTAATATTTCTATATTCTTCCGGGTCAATATTTTTAGTCCTTCTTCTCTTTTTTTTAACAGGCGTATCAATTCTAAATTTATAGTGGTAAATTTATGTTGAGATAGATATAATTTCTTTATTAGTTAATTCAAAAAAGTAAATTAGATTTTTGTCTTGGAAATGATCTTATGAACATGTAATTACTATGTCAAATAACGTCATTATAAGGAAAAGCCTGATTAATACCTTTTTACATCATATTCAATAAATTCAGAAATATTCAATTGTGCATCGATATGATCTGGTGTTGAAGAATAACCAATAGTAGCATTAAAATTTTCATTAAAAGGACATTGTTCTATGCATATACATGAACATTTATTTATTTAGCATTTTCTTAGATATAAGTGCAGTTAAGATAAAGCCTGTCATCGGGCAATTATGTAAAACAATAATTTCTTTACCTTCGCTTTCAAATAAGGATTGATTGAAAATTTCAAATTGCATATCTCCGATCGGTCTTGACATAAAGTAGGATGAAAATTATTAAAGGTTTTTCTATAATTTAGAACAAACAATGAAGGATTATTCATACCTATTATCATATAGAATAAAATCATTATCGACCAAATCAATACTGTAAATGGTGATGCCATATATGTTCGGATTAGATTCTTTCGAATAATTTTCACAATATTAAGGGTTTTTATCTTTTTAAATGAGCAAAATTCAAAGTATCATTAACTGATACAACTAGAGTGCAGGAAAGAATATGTTAACTCATTGGCTTTGTCATAAATTAAAGCAAGCGTTAATAAAAATAAATTTTATTTTATATTCTTACCTGGGTTTGCAACCAAAAATTGAATGAAATTATTAAAATTCATTATATCAATCATTCTTTGAAAAAGATATAGGAAAAAGGTAATAAACAATACCAATTTATAAAATTTCAGTCTAATACAATGTAAAGATTTGCTTTACACTATTAAACAAGAATTCTGAAAAATTAAATTTTAAAAATCTGCATATAGGTATAATCTAGTTTAATAACTACGTATAGTGATGCGACCCGTAAATTTCAAATAATATAAATAATCTACAGGTTACTTTAAAGTAACCCATAGATTATTTATATTATCTGTTCAATGTTCTGTTCACATCTACATCTCTAAATCACTACTAACTACGTATAAATGATAACAGATCAGTATATAATGAGTCAATTTATACTCTATTGGTAAAAAAACTGGTTTTACACAAATAACAATGTATATTATATAATATAAAAATATGAAGTAAAAAGGTAATAAACAATGGCAGCATCTTTAAAAACAAGATTAAAAAATATATAAGATCCGCAATATGCTGTATGATACAGTATAAAAAGTAATTAGACAACAACTTGCTTTATAATATTTTCTCGATAGTAAATAATAATATATAAGATTCATACTGGGTATATATACAATATATAAATATATAGTAGACTCATTAAGTCAGTCTAACTAAAAATGAATAGAAATCAAGATGTATCCTCGAATATATATGTAGTCTAATGCTGTAATATAAAATAACCTGGAAATAAAAAACACAATAGAATAAATGACTGGAAACAAAAAACTTGTTTTATAATATTTTCTCGATAGTAAATAATATATGCTATTAATATCGATATACAGTTTTACTTTGACTTAAGGAATTCATGTGATACCAAGTTATTGAATTTTTATCTTTACTAATTCGCTAATGATTTCCGTGTAAATAAGTACCATATATAAAAAAAAGGTACAAGTTTATGTTATTAATATTATATAAATATATAACCTATCAAGTCAGCCTTGCAATTTTATTTCCAAAATTTACCCTTCTAACTTGTAAAAATGGATAAATCCTCGAACGTAAATGAGCTTAAAAAACTTGCTCGACATTTGACTATGGTTTACGTAAATTGTTGCATTTTTTGCTTTTCGACTACTTCTGGAATTCAAGCAAGTTTTTACTTAACTAACATACTTATAGTAAGTCTTTGATTATGGGTACTTTAAAATATAAAATTATGTTATATTTATTGTTATTTTAATTTATCGCATTGTTTTAATTGCTTAGGCTTACTACTTACCACCATTTTTAAGTCTTTTTTGGTTCATAAGCATCATTATTGTCATCAAGACATCCAATAGCAAATTGCGATTCAGTTTAGTGATTGTATGGGTTTGTTTGATTTCTTGTTATTTAATTTGTTATCGTACATC